CCCCCACCCCCGTTGCCCAGTAAGCCTGTACTTCTTGAGGCTGCTCTTGCCACTTCCGAGAGGGGCCCTGTGTGTGTTCCAAGGACACACCTTCCCCTGATTCAAGAAAGCAAAGTCAAGGACTGACTGGACCAGGGGATGGAGTGGGAAGAGGGGAGTCTCGGGATGCTTGTGAGGGAAAGAATAGATCAGACTTCGGGGCCTTCCCAAGAGCCTGCATGTCAGGGAGGTGCTAACCTTTCTGTGTTGGGGATTGTCCTGTGGGAGTCGCCCTGAGATGGGCCCCTTGCCCAGCGAGAGCCTCCCTCACATTCTCTCCCACAATGCCCAAGCCTCTGCCAGACCTGACCGTGCTTCTGGAATCTCTCTGATCCTGCACCTGTTGTCCCCACCACTATGGGAGCTCCTGGAGAGTTCAAAGACTGGGTCTAACTCATCTCTTTGTCCCATAGTCGCTGAGTACAGGGCCAGGCACAGAGCAGTCAGTGATGTGTATTGGCTGACCCAGTGAGGGATGATGAATGAACGTGTGAGCAATGAGGGCAGCCAGGTAAGGATGTGCAGACTGTGCACTGCCCAACTCCAGATGGTGTCATTCCTGTAAACTATGGTGTGGGGACTGCACTCTGGAGTTGTGTAACGTGTGACCCACACATGACGATGAGGACACCTTGAAGCAAGTCAGTGAATGAGCCGGTGAGCCCACCCACCCTCTCACCCCTGCCTCATGTAGGTCTTGTTATGAGACAGCTGCTGGGCAGGCTCCAGGCTCTGGCTGTGTCCTGGCTCTGTTCCTCTTTGACATTCAGAGCACAGATGGGCCCCCTGCCCACCTTGGGCAGCATTCTGAGCTGATGGGCCCACCCTGCTGGGATGCGCAGCATCATTTCTGGAGCAGCCTCAGTCCCTGTGTCGCTTGTAATGGCTCCTCTGCCCTCACCAAATGTGTCTGGGCCTTGCTTCCCCACTAGCCTACCCTCACCATGGCCTGAATGTAGGAGGGGGTCTGCAGGGTGGGGGTGGGGTGTGAGGAGGCAAGCTGCTGCTGTCCCCTCCCGCCTGCCTCCTTCGGTGCAGCTGAGAGTCCCGGAGCTGAAGCTTTCAGTGTGGGATGGTGGGTCATGCTCTGTTGGATGCCAGAGTAGGGCTCAGTGAAATCAGTGCTCCTAACAGTTCCTTGTGTTTGTAAAGGAGAGCCCTCATTTTGAGCTCCTGGGGAGAAATAGACATATCCCCATTTTCCAGATGGGGACAACAGGCCCAGGGAGGGGCAGTGGCTTGGCCAAGGTCACAGAGCCAGAATCTGTTCCATTCTCTCTGCCTCTGTCCTTCCTGCTCTAAGAACAGGAGTCTTTTTAAGGAGGGAGACAAAGAAATGAAGGGTATCTCTAGTCCCCACCCATTCCCACCAACCCCATCCACCTCCTCTGACCCTATAGCGAGGAGGAAGAGGCGGAGCAGGCAGGGCAGCTCCAGGGGCCCGCTCAGCCACAAGCTCCTTGCTAGCTTTCTCTGCCCTCTGGACTCTGTTGCATCTTACCTCCCTGGTGTTTAGGAAGCCTAGACTGGCCCTGGGTCCCACCCTGTATAGCAGATGCCACAGGCAACAGCCCTGTGCTGGGGAGGTGGGTAGTCCAGGCTAAGGGTATAGGCTTTGATGGACCCAGGTGGGGATCCCAGTTCTGCTGCCTTAGGCAAGTTTCTCTGCCTCTCTGTGTCTTAGTTCCCTCAGTTGTAAAGTGGGGGAAATAACCTCATCATCTGGCGAGCTAACTGTGAAGATCACTTGTGTGAGGCAACGAGGCTGTTGAGGAGCCCTGTGATCTAGCTCCCTGAGGGAGGTGTGTCGCCCCTTGGAGCCTCAGTTTCCTCATCCATCGTGGGGCATCACACAAGGACAGCTGTGAGCAGGAGGTGGGAAGAAGGCAAAGGGCCAGTGTAGGGAAGCTTCTGCCTCTGCAGAATGGGGACAAGGCCACTCCAGGCTCAAAGGCACTTCTGGCTCTGAATATCCATAAGTGTCTCAGGAAGCTTCTTTTCCTCAGCTTACCTTGGAGACGTCCATTCGGGCCTGGTCAAAGGAGATGCCCTTGATGTTGGGCAGGGGGAGGTGGTGTTGTCTGAGCAGCTCTGCAAGAGGGGTGGGCAGAGGTGTCTGTGGGTGCAGGGCAAGATGTTGCGTGGGGCTGCTCTGCCACCCAGAACAGGGAAGGGACTGGGTGTATCCCCTCCCTCAGCCCCCTTGCTTGGGGGGACCATTCCCATCACTCCTGAAGCAGCCTCTGAACAGCAAGCAGCTGTATTCAGGAAAGCCAGTTTCTCTACCCACTTACTAAACCTATTTTTTTTTTTTTTTCTGAGACAGAGTCTAACTCTGTTACCCTGGGTGGATTGTCCTGGAATCATAGTTCATAGCAACCTCAGACTCTTAGGCTTAAGCCATCCTATTGTCTCAGCCTCCCAAGTAGCTGGGATTACAGGCACCCACCATGATGCCCAGTTAGTTTTCCTGTTTTTAGAAAATAGGTCTCACTCTTGCTCAGGCTGGTCTCAAACTTGTGAGCTCAAGCAATCCACCCGCCTCAGTCTCCCAGAGTGCTAGGATTATGGGAGTGAGCCACTGAGCCCGGCCAACTCAACCTATCTTAAGGGAAATTCTCAAATGTATCCAGTCACTGTCAACACATTCTCATGAAGACATTCTTCTTAGCAGTATTTTATGGAATGTTCTATTTGTTGAAGATTTCTTCTTTTTTTTGAGATGGAATCTTACTATGTTGCCCTCAGTTAGAGTGCTGTGGCATCACAGCTCATAGCAACCTCAAACCCTTGGGCTTAACCTTAACCCTTGGCCTCCGTCTCCCAAGTAGCTGGGACTACAGGCATCCACCACAATTCCCAGCTATTTTTTGGTTGTAGTTGTCATTGTTTAACAGGCTTGGGCAGGGTTCGAACCTGCCAGCATCGGTGTATGTGGCCAGTGCCCTAACCACTGAGCTTGTAGCGCTTAGCCTGTTGAAGATTTCTTATAAATCTATTGATGAATTTTATTCCTTTTTTTTTATTTGAGACAGAGTCTCAAGCTGTAGCCCTCAGTAGAGTGCTGTGGCATCACAGCTCACAGCAACCTCCAACTCTTGGGCTTAAGCAATTCTCTTACCTCAGCCTCCCAAGTAGCTGGGGCTACAGGTACCCACCACAATGCCTGGCTATTTTTTGGTTGTCATTGTTGTGGCGGGTGGGGGCTGGATTTGAACCTGCCAGCTCAGGTGTATGGGGCTGGCGCCCTAGCCGCTTGAGCTACAGGTGCTGAGCTGATGAATTTTATTCTTTAATCAAGGGAAGTAGCTGAGAACACTCTTCATTCCTAAGAAAGGTAAAATGTTGGCAGAAACAAAATGTCTCAAAAGGATTAGAAAGAAGTCAGAAGGAACTGAAAAATTAACCTTGAAATATAGAAATTTGGTTATATTAATAAGAAAATATCCACTGAATGTATCAAAGAAGGAAAATATATTCAGGCTTGGTGCCTGTAGCACAGTGGTTATGGTGCCAGCCACATACACCAAGGCTGGCAGGTTCGAATCTGGCCTAGACCAGCTAAACAACAATGACAACAACAACCAAAAAAATAGCCGGGGATTGTGGTGGGTGCTTGTCCCAGGTTCTTGGGAGGCTGAGGCAAGAGAATCGCTTAAGCCCAGGAGTTTGAGGTTGCTGTGAGCTGTGACGCCCACAGCTCTCTACCAAGGGTGACATAGTGAGACTTTGTCTCAAAAAAAAAAAAGGAAAATATTCACAAATATACTTATTTATCATATATATGAAAAATAGTCCTTAAAGCAGGTTTTTGATAAATTGGTAAATTTGGTGAATTTGAAGAATGGGTCATTTTGTAATTTGAGTTTCAATGAAGTAACCATTTGGCTGGCAATTTGATTTTTAGCAAACTAAGTTTCTGAGATTTGGCCTTGAGGGTGTGGCCTGAGCCTTCTTGACCCTTCTTCTGTGCTGACACCCAGGCTGAGCTGAGTGCAAGCTGTCCATTCTGGATGGGGCACACTTGCCATGAACCAGGAGCCCCGCCTGGGCCATTTCACTTGGGCATGTTACCTCCCAAGCCCTTGAAGGGCTGTGGGCTCTGTCACCTCTGTTGGGAGCTGTGGGCTCTGTCACCTCTGAGGGCCCTTTCTATGTTGGTTTCCACAGTGCAAACCCACACCTCCCCATCCCAAAGCCCCTCCTGGCCACATGTCCTACTTCTAAGCTTTCATCGCTACCAGCTGCCTGGATGAAGAACAGGAGGGCACACGTGGGCCCTTCCCCAGTCCCCTTGTTGGTCATGCTCCAGGTTCCAGTGTCTCCACTCTGCCTTCTCTGCTCTGCCTATGGGCAGCTCTTAGCCAACCCAGGGGACAAGGCCGAAGCCAGCTGGCTGTGGAGGCCCTCTGGACATGTTTGATGCTGCTCTGAGGTGCATGGTATGTGGGCATGGCAGAAGAACAGAGTAGGGGCTCACCATTGTGACGGGGCAAAAAGACCCTCTTCAGAAGCTCTAAGAGAAAGGCCTTCAGATGTCCTTCCTGCAATAGATGAAAGAGGAATAAGAAGCTCACGTCTGTTGGGTTGGCAGGCTCTAACCATAGGAATGAGGGGAGCTCAGTGTACAGATGCCCACAGGGGATCCGGAGAAGTACTGGACACTCTACCCTTAACCCCTGACCTCCCAAGCGGCCATGGGGTGGGTAGTCCAGAGTAATATGAGATCAGGGATGGAAAGTGAATGAAGCCTGAGACTCTTCTGGAGGACACTGGAACCAGTGGACCAGATTAGTGAAGGGACATGGGGCAAAACTAAGGAGCCTGAAAAAGAGACACCCGCTGGTGTCTCTTCCCGAGGGGCTATTCCTGCTCCTACCCTGGGAGAACTCACTGCCTTTGCCAGTCAGTGTGCTACCCTGGGGACATTCCACCTTGCTCGGCCTCCACAGGACTGAGTCTCATGCTCTACCCCTAATGGGGGAAGGCTGTTATGGGGGATGATTTTGAAACACTATAAAATCAGCATCCCGGTTACATCAGGCCTTGCTCTGTTCTTACATTTATAGCAAGGACTAGAGCATCTCTGCAGGGAAGCCCTGGGGAAGAGGAAATTGGTTTGTGAGACCCCAGGCCTAGGGCTCTGCAGGGACCAATGCAAGAGGAGCTCTCTACTGCTGAGCTGCCTGATACTGGGGTAGGAGTTATCTCATTGAGGAAGCAAGCCTCCTACCATTAGGAGAGGTCTGTCCAAGGGCTCCCCCAACCCATTTAGACAAATCGGAAAAAGACTCTTTTTTCATGATGCTCTTTTCCCATCTGTTCGGAGACTGTCATAAACATATACATGTATCTGCACTGTCTATACAGGGGTCCTCAAACTTTTTAAACAGGGGGCCAGTTCAATGTCCCTCAGACCATTGGAGGGCCAGACTGCGGGCTCCGGGACGAGTCGGCTGCTAAGCAGGACAGGCAGCGGCGGCAAAAACACCCAGCAGGCCAGATAAATGTCCTTGGTGGGCTGCATGTGGCCCGCAGGCTGTAGTTTGAGGACGCCTGTTCTATGACATGGGTGGCTTGTACAGTCCACAACTTATCCAACTACACACAGCAGTTCTGGTCTGTATGACTGTCCTCTAATGATGTCATAAAAGAGATCCTGAGCAGATGATCTGTAGGCCCACTCAACCCTGGGATTCTGTAGAGTAAGAACGGAGCGAGGCCTGATGGGACAGGGATGAAGATTTTATTCTTTTTCATGATGCCTGTTCTAGCTCAGCCCTTCTGTTGTTTTCCCCCTTGCAGCCTTCACCTGTTAGGGCCAGAGTGTGACACTCATGGTCCTAGAGAAGTGGAGGGTGGTGGGATGTCCCCAGCGTAGGGAAAAAGTGTAGTTACTATGGGGGTTCCCTCTGACTGGCAAGGACTGTGAGCAGTTCTTCCAGGGTAGGAGTGGGAACGGCCCCTGGGGAAGAGATAGGACACTCCACTGGTCCACTGACACCATCTTGGCCAAGCTTCATCAGCTATGACTGCATCATTCTACCAGCCTGCTTGGATACTCCTGCCTACACCCCAGTCCTTCCAGTGGCTTCCATCTTACTCAGAGGAAAAGTTGATCCCCAGCTGCAAGCCTAGTCCTGCCCCTCTGTTGCCTCCCCTCGCTCCCTCTGCTCCAGCCACATCGGCTGGTCCCTGAGCCCATGAGACACACTCCTGCCATGGGGCCTCTGTCCACATCTTCCCCCAGATCCCAGACAACTTCTTTTCCAAGTCTTTGCTCAAAAGTTCACCTTCTCAATGAGGACTTCTCTGACTTTGTTTTTAATAATATCACTCCACCCTGTACACCTGGTCCCCTCTACTTTTGCTGTAGTGTTATCACCTGCCTATATATTATGTAATTTACTTTACTGGGGCTGGGGCTTATACCCGACCTCACTCTGCCAGAACGTGAGGGACCTTGCTGGTGTTCTCTGACACATCCCAGGTACATAAGACAAGGCCACACCCATAATAGGTGCTCGATAAATATTTGTTATGTGTATGAAAAGAGAAAGCCTGGGAGACTCCCCTACTCTTGCAGCAGGCATGAGTGGTTTCCAGGGCAAAAGGAGATCAGGGACAGAAAGTGAAAGAGGCTTTCAACTTGGATTGAAGGCCAAGAGACTGAGGCCAAGAAAAGGGACTCACCTGCTTCTTGATGCCAGTGGGGTGGGGGCTCAGGGTGATGGTGGTGCTACCAGAGAAAAGAGATCACTTTTGTGTCACAGCAGCCTTTTAGGGGTGCAGTGCTCAGTGAGCTGTGGGTCGCAACACCCCTCTCTCCCTCTTATAAGCCTCCTGTCATTCTCCTGACAGCAGGTGGAAATATACACATTTAACCACATGCTTTCTCTCTCATCTCACTTTCTGTTACCATCTTATTTTTTCTGAACTTTGCAAACAAAAAAGTGTTACCTTTTTGGAGTAAACTGGATTATTAGTTCCTGATTTCTTGAAGAAAATACAGCCTTTGAAAAAAGTTCCTATGAGGAAATTAGATTAGAACAGGAGAGAAATTTAGGTTCTAGCCAGAGGGATTCCCTTGCCTGCAGCTCCCATGATACCTGGCTCTCTCTCATCAGTCCTCACCTCCCTCCCTGTGACACTGTCTTCTCTAGCTGCTGGTTCATGTGTGTCCAGATCATGCATGCGTGGGCCTTGCCATAGGAGAGGACACAGAGGGATACTGGGTGCCCCTGGATCCAGGGACCCAGCGCTAGACACAAGGAGGGCTCAGCTCAGTGGAGGGAAATCCTTCTGTAATGAAAGTGACTTGGCTCAGGAATCATCATTGCTTGGAAGCCAGGGGAGCCCTTGGTTTTGAGGGGGGTATATAGGGACCTTCATAACTTACATGGTTACCTTATGAACCAGAAATAAAGTGACTTTTCACCGCTAGCCAGAGATGACCAGCTTTTTTGCCGTAGAATCATGCTGAGAAAGAGCCCAAGGGTCCTCTTGTACTGGGCAGGTGCCACTTGGCTCACCTATAGTGGGGACCTGTTTGTGTCCTTATCTGGGGCACCTTCCTAATCTCACGGTCTGTGGAACAGGTCTGTTCAGAACAGAGAAGTTGAACTCCTCCCAGGGCCCAGCCTTCTCTGGTTGGGGCCACCCTTTCTCTTAGGGAGTGGAGAAAGAGTCACATTTAGGCCCTCCACCAACTCTTTGTCTCTGAACTTCCTCCCGGGCTTTTGATGCAGTCATGCCCCGGGGAGACAGTGAGAAGGCCCCACCTGGCAAGGACTGCAAGTTCAGGGGCTCAGAGGCAAACCCCTTTAGTTGCTGAGGAGGTCCTTGGGGAGCATCCTGGGGGGTGCGTGTGAATGTAGGGGCACAGATGTTAAAGTATTTTAATGTTTTAGCAGAGGGCACAGCTATCCGGTGGACTGATTGATTGTGAACAGGTGACACAGCACTGAGATTTGCTGTGGGCTCCTGTCACCCTGCCCTCAGCTAGCAGGCCCTGGAGGGCCTCATCATAGATTCAGGACTTCGGGGGACAAGGACCTTTGAATCTCACTCACCCAGGAAACTGGGACAGAGGAGGAGTTGCTGGGGCCCAGCAGCACCAGCAAGCCTGGCTGGATGACTGTGGCCACGTTTCCCTCAAGTTGGACGGTGGGAGGATCAGGAGTGTTGATGGTCAGTCTCACATTCCCTCTGGGCTGATTACAAGCCTGGATGAGGTTAGAGCAGAAAAGTATAGGCAGAGACAGAAGCTGGCTTTCTTCGGCCCCCAGCTTGAGAAATGGAACAAGACCATCTGAGGAGTCTGGAGTCTGGGCTCTAATTATACTCTGCAGCAACTTGCTGTGTGACCAGGAGAGGTCACTTATGCTCCCTAAGCTTCTTTGAGGCGGGATTGCAGCCTCTTCCTGGGCATACACAGCAGCTAAAGCATAGATTTATGGAACCAGAGTTCCAGCTTCACTACTTGCAAACTGTGGGCCAAGGCAAGTCTCTTAATCTCTCTGTGCCTTGATTTTTACTCTTATAACACAGGGATAATAATTATACCCTCCCCATAAGGTCGTTGTGAGGATAAATTAACTTATATAATGTGCCCAGAGAAGAGCCACACCTAGTAATGCTATTCACTTGGCATCTGCATTGGTGGTTGTTACTGACTGGCTCTCAGGTGCCATAGGCTAAAACAATGTCCTCTGCAGAGAGGACAGTGAACGTGGATTCTGAAGTCTAGGACTGGGTTGAAATTTTGGCCCAAGCAATGTGAGCCTGGGCAAGTGAGTTCACCTTATTAACCTCAGTCTGTTCATCTATAAAAGGGGCTGACAGTGTGGGGTTCCCAGAGGGTCACACTGATGTGGGTGGAGGAGCCTGTATGCAGTTGCCACCCACTATCATCTAGGTGCACGCCTGGGGGCTTGCTCAGTAGTGAATAATGGTGGTGCATCATCTCATTTAATCCTCACATCACCTGTGAAGCAGGTGCAATGGTTCTCAGTCACAGAAGGAAACCCTGGCCAAATGGAGCACACCTGTGTGCCCTGGCCTGGTCCCGCCGCCCTGGCCCAGCATCTTTCCTGAGACCTTGGCCAGGTTGCTGGGGGAGGAGTTGGTAACACACTTACCTCTGGCCCAGGCTCCAGTTCTCCTAATGACAATAGCCGAATGAGGTCAGAAGCCTGGAAAAAGGGCAAAGTATGTATTAGTTAGCTTTTAGAATCTGCCAAATCTGTTCTGAGCAGGCTATGGGGGCGGACTGGGGGGGGGCAGCTCAGTGAGGTTTGATGAGAATAATTGTCCCCTGCCAGATGTACCACCTGCGTGCCAGTCATTCTTAGCATGTGAGCAGCTATTAATCTGGTTTCTCATCATGATTTATCTGGAAAGCTTAGCTTTTTGTTGTTTTGATGACTTTTCTCTCCTAATATTTTACTGTGAACATTTCTATACATACAGCAAAGTTGAAAGAATTTTGCAGAGAGCATGAATGTATTAATCACATAGATTCTTCTGTTAACACTTTTCTATGCTTGCTTTATCATATTGATGTCCCCCTATCTATGCTTCCTTGATTTTTGAAAATCATAAATTATAGAAAACGTGAGAGAAATGTGTAAAGTAGGGAGTAAAAGTTCACCCAGCATCTCTTTTCTTTTCCCTCTAATCCTGTTCTCAGGGGTAACCACTGTTGACATTCTGAAGTATATCCTGACAGACTTTTTGCTACACGCATACAAACCTGAGTAGATGGGAACATTCTAACCACATGGTGCTGAACCTTGTTTGTTCCCCTCATTGTCAGTGCATACAGAAAAACTCCATTTGTAACAGCTGTGTACTACTCCACAGTGCATGAATTTTACCAGTTCCTTATTGATGATTGATGAACACCTACGTTAACTTTATTTTTCACCTTATATCACAATGTCATGTGAGGCTGCCAAGAACCCCCTTGCCCATGTACCATTGCCCACTGGTGTAAGATTTCTGTAGACCTGCAGGGTTCACTTCTAACTGGCTCCAAGCTGCCACACTTGTGAGAGATGGAGCGACCTGCAGGGGAGGCAGGAAACCTGGCTATAGTCCTGACCCCGCCTGCCTTTTGGCCTTGGACAACTCACATTCCCCATCTGGGACTTGGTTTCCTTATGTAAAAAGTAGAGCAATAATGATATATCATTTTCAAATATGGATCTTAGAGCATCATTTTTTATTTTTTTATTTATTTTATTTATTTTATTTATTTTTGGCCAGGGCTGGATTTGAACCCTCCACCTCCTGCATATGGGGCTGGCGCCCTACCCTTTTGAGCCATAGGCGCCGCCCCAGGGCATCATTTTTTAACTTAAATATTTCCTGAGCCTTCACTGTGTACCTTTCATGTGGTAGGTATACTGTCCATAGTCCTGCCCTCACAACAGGGAGACAGTGAGCACGCAAAATTAAGTAGTGTACATATATGTGTTATGTGTACATGCAATTTTGCACATACAACTTCGTACAAACACATATCTATACATATGTTTTAAAGTTAGAATGTGATCAGTATTTTGAAGGGAAAAGAACACAGTGGAGACCTTACTTAACATCTCCCAATGCAGTGGTCAAAGGGTGCTCTCTGAGGAGACACCATCTGGACTGAGACCAGCAGGGAAGGGAATAATGTTCCAGGTAGGGACCAGCATGAGTCAGGGCTTTGAAGTGGGAGCCAGCACAGCCCATGTGATAGGAGTGTGGTGGGTGAAGAGACAGGGCCAGAGATGGGGCAGCAGTGAGAGCACGCAGCGCCCCAGGAGCTGCACAGGAGACGGGATTTTATTCAGGGTGTACTGCGGAGTTGCTGGGGGATTTTTGTGATGTATCTGGATGTTTCCTCTCATTGATCCCCCCCATTGCCCCTGGGAGCTGGCTGTTCTTGCAGACCTCTGTGTCTGCCTCCTTGTCACCATTCAGGCCACCTCTTCAAAGATGTCTTTGCTGACTAGAGGTCCAGGGTAGTAGCCCTCTCACCTCCACCAGTCACTCACTATCCCATTGCCCTACTTGCTGTAAATAATGAGATAACTTATTTTATTTAATGGACAGTTTCCTTTTTCAGTTTCTTTTTTTTTGAGACAGAGCCTCAAGCTGTCCCCCTGGGTAGAGTGCTGTGGCATCACAGCTCACAGCAACCTCCAACTCCTGGGCTCAAGCAAGTCTCCTGCCTCAGCCTCCCAAGTAGCTGGGACCACAGGCGCCCGCCACAACGCCCAGCTATTTTTTGGTTGCAGCCGTCATTGTTGTTTGGCAGGTCCGGGCTGGATTTGAACCCACCACCTTAGGTGTATGTGGCTGGCGCCTTAGCCACTTGAGCCACAGGCTCCGAGCCCCTTTTTCAGTTTCTAATCTTCCACTAGACTTTAAGTTCTGCAAGGACAGGAACCCTGTGTGCATGGGCTTGGCACACAGTAGGCCTGCAATAGATATTTTCAGTTTAAATGAATAAATAGGCATTAGGAAGAGAGGAACAACAAAGGGGACTCAGTGTCCAGGGATATCTTCCCAGGTGAGGGGACTTCTATTCTGGGTTCTGAAGGTTAAATAGTTCTCTAGGTGAGATCCAGAGAGGGTAAGTGACTTATGCAGGCCCACCCAGAAAGGCACTGATTTCTTCATGTGCAAAAATAAAGTTCTGTCCATCCCCATTCCTCCTCCTCAAGCACTCACTGTCGAGTCCTGGGGGTCCACATAGATCTCCTTGCTGGTGTAGAGGCAGGACAAGATATTATTGTAGACCTCCAGCCAAAAGACCAGGTCTGCCATGCTTCCTGGAGCTAATCTTGGGAGGGGCTGAGGAGCCAGGTGGTCAGAACTTAGGGTTCTCTGGCTTGGGCCACAGGGAGTCACGAGCTTCAGAGAAATGAAAGAAGAAGAAATTCAGTGGGAACAGCCTCCTTGGCTAACCTGATCATAGTCAGCATTGCAGGCTCCCTGTGATTAGTGTGGTGCTGGATATTTACATGCACGATCTCATCTGAACCTCACAACAGGGCTGGGAGATAGGAACTGTTATTGTCACCATTTGACAGATGAGGAAGCCGAAGCCCAGATAGGTGAGGTGATTTATTCAGATTGCACATGTGGTAAGAAGTAGAGCAGGGCTTGGGGCCCAGGAGCCTGGGTTCCCGCTTCACCCTCATCCAACCCCACTTCCTTCTCTGCGCCCTGGGTAACGGGCCTCCTTCCCATCCACTCAAATCCTCCTGTCCTCCCAACCCACCTTCTATAATTCCATGGGGATAGGGAAGGAGCAGAGGCCAGGAACTGGGCAGAAACAACCAGCCTTGTCCTGTCTCTGGACCTCCGTTTCTCTACCTGAGAGGTCTCTTCCAGCTGGGGCACTGTGTGCGGCCCTGCAGGAACTGGGCAGAAACAACCAGCCTTGTCCTGTCTCTGGACCTCCGTTTCTCTACCTGAGAGGTCTCTTCCAGCTGGGGCACTGTGTGCGGCCCTGCAGCCCCCTGAGCTCACCTGTCTGCCTCTCATTGGAGCCTGGTGCTTGCTCCCTGGCCATGCAGCCCTATGGCTCCCCTATTTTCGGGGTGAGCCCAAGCTCTACATTCTCCCTCTCCTTCCCCTCCACCCATCACCTCCTCTGCTTGCTCCTTCTCCTTCCTCCCTCCCCATTTTCCTTCCCTTTGCTCCTAGCCAGAGAAGACCCATCTCCTTTGCCCCTCCCCAGACCAGTGGACATTCCTGGAGGGTCTGTCCAGTCGAGGGCAGATGCACCTGCACTTTCATCAGGATGGCCTCCTCTGTGAACTCCGTGGTGGTGATGTAGTACTGGAAGTCCTCTGGGCCAGAGCTGGCTGGGGCTGCAATGAAGAAATGAAGCTGGGGTTCAGCCCTCCTTCGGGAGAGATGGAGGGGTGTGGGAGGCAGGAAGAAACTCGTTCTTCCTCTGCTTAGCTTTGGGCTCCTTGAGGGCTGACCTTGTACTTCTTATAACAGTGAACATTCATCAGGTGGTAACTTAGTGGCAGGTTGTGTTATTATCACAACAATCTTATTCTGTGAGCCTATGAGTAGTCCCATTCTACAGGAGTCCTATTCATCAAAGGCAAAAATGACTTACCAGGGCCCAGGCTGTATTGCCCCCCTTTTTGCCCTTCCTAGAAAGTGGGCTCCCATGGGCAGAGGTTTTCTATTTTGTTCCCCATCATATTCTGAGACCCTAAAGCAATGCCCAGCACACAGCAGGCAGCAGCAGACAAGCTGCTGACTTGGTTAGGAGCAACATACGCAGAGCGATTTGCAAGAGGTCTTCCAGCAGCAGGTTGAGCAGAGTTGTGGCCAGGGGGCACACCTGGAGAGGCGGTATGACGGTTGGGGTGAGGTTAAGGGGCTCTCTCTTGGGGTCATACGCTTCTCCTAAGAAGGCGGGGGAGGTGGGCTAACTCACTATCTTCTGTAGGAGGAAAGGCAATGCCTCGTCCAGGGCACTTGTCACCAACTTCAGAACTTTGTTCACTGGCAGGAAGTCCATCCTAGGAGAATGGGGCAACTGGTGGGGCCTGACACAGATGGCAGGGGGACTGGCCAAAGTAGGGAGTCAGAGTGGCACGGAGCTGAGGAAGTCCCTCTGGGCCTGTGCGGCCTGGAGGCTCCAGGGGCTGCCCCTTCCCTGTCTGGTGTCTCTCTCTCTTCCCTTCCCCCTTTCCAATTCTGTCCTTTCCCCTTTCTTGCCTTCCCGCTTTCTCTCTCCCCAACTTTCTCCTCCTTCTCTTTATTTCTTCCTAATTTCTCTTCTGTCCCTTTATTTCTATCTCTGCTTAACGTCTCTGGGATTTTTAAGCAGAGAGAGGTCACACCTAGTAGTGGAGGTCATGGAAGGCTTCCTGGAGGAGGTTTTGTGTTGGGTAAATAAAAGAATGATAGATAGCGGCCACCTTATGTGGCAGGTTCTGTGTTAAGTGGGTCAGTGGGTGAGCTCATCTCCTCTCACAACCAACCACTGGCTGGTACTACGAGCAATTCCATTTTACTGGTGAGGAGATGGAGGCTCCTAGAGGTCAGATAGGTTGCCCAGAGCCTCCTAGTTGGAAGGTGTCCAAGCTGAGGTTTGAAGCGGGGTGGATAAACGCACTTAGCACTGACAGTCAAGGTGGTGGCAGGAGATGCTGGCAGAGGGAATGTGCAGTCTTTGGCCTTGGGGGTGACCCTGCTCTGATGCTCTGGTCACTCTGGTTACAATGAGGCTGGGGAGAGGCAGTCCCAGCCCCGAGTTTCTGTGGAGGATGAGTGTGGGAAGGGCTGGTGCCCGGCCCTGCCCAGTGAAAGCGCAGGCGTATGCAGCTACTCACTGCTCCAGCACCTCGATGCCCAGGTATCCAGGTGGGGTGTGGCACTCCTCAAAGGCCACCTGGGTTTTATTTCCTGTCTGTTCCAACCGTACTCCAATGAGAATGTTCTTGATGACTTTGAGCCGGAGGATCCTGCAGGGAGAGTGTGTCTGGGCAGGCACCACGCCAGAGCACAAGGTTGAAGGCAGAGTCCACAAGCAACAAGCTGGGAGCCTGCAGGTGCCTGGAGAGCTCAAATGAAAAACTAGGAGAGTTTATTCAAAATATGGAAAACCTGGCCAGGCGTGGTGGCTCATGCCTATAATCCTAGCACTCTGGGAGGCTGAGGCAGGTGGATTGCCTGAGCTCAGGAGTTCGAGACCAGCCTGAGCAAGAGTGAGATCCTGTCTCAAAAACTAGCCAGGCATTGTGGCAGGTGCCTGTAGTCCCAGCTACTGGGGAGGCTGAGACAAGAGGATATCTTAAGCCCAAGAGTTTGAGGTTGCTGTGAGCTGTGACGCTCTGGCACTCCACCCAGGGAGATGGAGTCTCAAAAAAAAAAAAAAAATATATATATATGGAAAACCAGAGCCATAGAGGTCAACTGTTGGCTGGTCTATCAATTGTTCCTAAAATGAACATACAATGCATAGCCACTCAGATACAGAAGATACAATTAAAATCTCCTAATTCTGTGACAGGGCAAGAAGAAGGTGACCAATTTTTTTTTTTTTTTTTTTTTTTTGCAGTTTTGGCCGGGACTGGGTTTGAACCC